CAGCCAGCCATGGCTGGCTGGGGAATTCTGGGAGTTGAAGTCCACTCATCTTAAAGTGGCCAAGTTTGGACAACACTGGTTTAGGGAGTGAAACTATGTGACAGTGTAGAAGAACCCTGACCTTCTCTTTTCCATGCTCTGGTCCTTCTATGCCTCAATAGTAGCTTACCTGGAAGTTGCCCACTAATGTTGCACCGAGGGCACAAAGAATACCTAAAAGAAGTCCAGCTAGATTCAGAGGGGAGTGACAGCCATAATCTCGGACTTGTTGGTACTTTAGAAAGCAGATCACCACACCTGAAAGGAACAGCGTGATAAATTTCTATCATCATCATCATCATCATCATCATCATCATCATCATCATTTTTTTTTGTCAAATAGATTTATACCTTAACACTGCTGTCCCATTGTTGTCACACACATTCCATAAAGAATCTGCTGCTCTTTATCAATGTCAACATATACATCTACCTTACTTCCGTTCACGGCGGTATATGACCCACATTCTTCGAAAGACAGTAAAGAAGTAATTGTGCTTGAACAGATCATGCTGGTTGGTTCAGACATTATGCTAAGCCATGGTTTCTTTCAACATGGTTCACTGAATAAACCACCTTTGGTTTGTCTGTTCGACACCTAAGTGTGGTGGAAAACTCACTCAAGAAACACCAACAATTGGAAATGGTGCTTCTGGTAGACAATGTAGGAGGAGAGCTGTACTTAGTCTATCATAGCAAAAATTCAAAAGGAGTCTGATCGCATTTTTTCTGAGTAACAAATTTTATTGAAAGGCATAAAATTTCACGAGCTGCAGCTGAGCTTATACCTTTTAATAACATTTGTTAGTCAGAAAAGGTGATGCCAGACTTTGGGTTTTTTCCCAACAACTGGAAAGAATCTGCTGGGTGTTTTATGATTTCAAAGCTTACAGGTTATGGTGAGTCACTGGTTTCTTGTACCCAGATGAACCAGGAGCAAGAGCCCCCAGGTTACATAGATCTTATTTAGAATGTTGATCAAAGACAGTTTAAGTACGCAGACATCTATAGACGCCCCAGTTACAAGGGAGAATTACAGTTACAACTGATAAGGATGCAAGATAACAAGAAAGGAAACATGAGTACCACTCAAAGTGTGAAGGCGCTACAGTAACTTTCTTTGAAATGCAACATAGCAGCTTTGATATAAGAGAGGTGTCAAGGCTAATTGTTATTCTAACAAGTTGACCCTGTACTTAACTGCAGAAAGAGGAGAGATAAGGAAGCAGTCATTACGCATCCTTGGATCTGCTGCATTTCACTAAAGACATAAATTCTACATGCATTAACAGTTCATTGACAACATTGGCACAACTATAAAAAATCCTACAATTAATTGAACTAAAGAACACATTTATCAACCACAACGTCTGGGTTGACACAACATGTTAAGCCAGAATTCTGTGCAAAACCCGAGAACTGTGCAACACATTCAATATTCTAAAATCCTCAACTTTTTCTTAAAAACAAGCTCTACTGAAGGAATGGATCTGAAGAAAAACAGTTTTAATAAGTCACAACAGCTTCTCCTGAAAGGCAAAAATAGGGCTGGTGGGTCATCAGGATCCCAAAAGTCAGGAGTGTCCATTGTAAGAAAGGACAGATTGGGCCTGCTTCTTGCCTGATTGATTGATGTAATAAGCTATTAACTACAAGATCTTGTAGCAGTTTACAGTATGGGAATAGATGGAGAGAAGTACCTTACCTAAAAAGGCTCCTAGATTAAGAATTTGTCCAAACACACAACTCTGGGGTGGAAAAGCACCACACGTGCTGAGAAACGAGAAATTAGGAAATTTCATATAACTAGAAGCAATTTTAGAAGCGGGGGCTGTTTTCCTCTCTGCCTCAGAAATCCCCATCCAGGGATGCTATATTCAAAGAGGCCCAAGACTGCCTGTCCCCAGCCTGGTGCCCAGTTCTATTAGGTTACAACTTTCATTACCCTACTTCTGGGGCAAAGCTCAGTTTAAAAAAAAGCAATCCAACACTTGACTTTTCTAGTATATACTTGGGTTAAAGAATGTTCTTTGTGTAAAAGAAAGTTGACAAAGTCTATAGGCTAGGCAGACAAATGCCCCCTTTTATCTTGTGCCCCTGCTTGCCCTCCCTCTTGCATCTTTTGAAGGGTAGGTATGTTCCACCTTTGTCTCTGCACTTTTCCCAAGATCAAATGTAAATGCAAAAGTCAATTACATTTAGACTAGATTTGTCAGGCTGTTAAACAAATCTGGATGAGCAGGATGATTAACACACATGCCACAACTCAGCTGGCACATGTGATTTATTAATATACATTACTAACAACAAAGTATGATATCATATATTGTTTTCCCTCTGGAGGCTGAAACCCTTCTCCCACCTATCCAGAAGCCTTTCTTAACAGTCAGTCCACCTTATCCTAAATCCCCAGGTTTTTGCTTGCTTATATTTTTGCCCCTTATGATTTAGGACAGGGTTTCCCAACCATGCCAGTTTCCAGGCATGTACACTTCAACTCCCAGAATTCCACAGTCAGCATACCCATTGAAGAGAATTCTGAGAGTTGAGATCCACACACCTGGAAATTGGCATGGTTGGGAAACCCTGTCCTAAATCCTAAGGGGCAAAAATATAAGCAAGCAAACAACTTGGAGAGGCTGTTCCATAAAACTGGGGCAACTAGAAAAGGTCCTTCACCTGTACCAAAGGTAACCTGGCTCTCATTAAGTGGGGGAGAACAAGATTAGAGCAGAACAAGATTCCCTGGAAAACAGTTCATGGGGTGATTAGGTAACATTTTTTTCCCCATACCTGATATATGGAAATGCTTCTGTGATGTTGACGGAGCCATTTGTAACTGCCATGGCAAATCTGAAGAAATGGGAACCTGATGAGACAGCTAGAATGGTCATATTGATGCTTAGTTTATTATTCCTAGTTAATCTAAACAATATATTGCCGGCACCTCCATGGGCGTGTCGAAATACGCAAGACAGCGAATGCAATATCACAATCGAAGCCCTGCTCTCCTGTATACGCACTTACTAACGGGACAGGGTTTCACTGTGATACCGCGGCTGTCATATTGCAGATTTTGACACCCTTCTCCCCAGTACATGCTCCTGGTACATAATACACATTAGAGCTGTGCACACTTTGGAAATGATTTGGAGGAAGTATTTTTTGGACTGCGTGTGAGCAGAGCAGCTTGTTCCACGTGAAGCTCTGACCCACCATTAAAGTTAGTGTGACTCTTAAAACAACAGCCCCTTTTTTCACATTCATGCAAAAACCCGAAAAAGGCCAGGCTCTGATGGATACTAGAGAAATTCTCTATTTGAATGAAATCCAAAGCCATTTTCCTCATTGTTTCTGAAGTATGCACAGTCCTAGTACAGGTCATAGCAGTGATTTCTCAAAGATATAAGTACTTTTAATGTAAATCAGCCTTCTCTAATCTGAAGCCCTCCAGATGTGAGGTTTCTTGGGACTTCTAAGAACTGAGGTCTCAAAATATCTGGCGCCCAGAAGAAAGCTAGTATTAATCTACCAGATGAGCTGGCAGGAAGGAGAAGGAGAAGAATGTGTTACACAGCCAACATTAAATGAAAGACATTTTGGCCCAGCATAATGTGTGAATCTTGTTACTTGAAATATCTGGGATTATTAAAGGTGGCAAATATCTGGGATTATTAAAGGTGGCTCAAGCTGTGGCCCTGCCAATGACTCCTTAGAAATTAAAGCCTGTTCACCCTATTTAAAACTTTGCAAACTTTTTGAAGTGCCGGAGGAAACTGTGTGCCAAACTGACACGACAATTTCCACAGAATTGCACAAGTAAGCAGAGCAAGCCAATTTGTTCCAATTACAGAGCATTTTAAAAGAAAACATAGGTTCTTTGTGTGAAGATGACCGAACTGCCTAATTAAAGATTAGAAGTAAGCCCTTATTTATATACTCTATTTCGTACCATTAAAGAGTTAACAACTGGATAGGCTGGGTGAAGGCCATGCCTGCTTTTCTTTCTTTAATATCTGCATTTTATTATGCAACATCTTATTAGGCGCCCTATTGTCCCCTCATCACAGGAAATTAATACATCCACTTACTTAGAATGGCTACAGATCAAACTGTTGTAATAGTTAAAAGGATGGCAGCTAGGAGGTTGGGTTAAAAAAACTTGGATACACCACATTTCAGTGGGGCAAAAAGTCTCTCCTATAGCAATGTATCAGATCTTTGATATGTATCCTTTTCCCAGGATCTCAGGAAAAGAACAAAGATTCCCATCCCTTGTTATAAGATCTTTTCTGCCAAGGAGTCCAGGTAGTAAAATTGGATTTTTCTGCTACCGCTGAGCTTCCCACCTCCAATACCAGATCTAAGCCATTGTGCTTCAATTCCTGCATGCCCCAGCCAGCCCTGAGGCTCACCTAGTTGCCCCACCATGCATTTATTACTCACACAGCCCAGAAGCCCAATATGCCCCCCACAGCCAGGAACACAGGAAGCAGTGGCCAAAGCCACATGGTGACAGGACACCTGAAGACAAAACACAGGAGGAGACTGTTAAGTGTGGCCCCCAGTTCCAGGAGTCAGAATTGGGGGGGGCGGGGAGGACAAAATGGGATCAACTGGACTGGAGCCTGGGACCTTGGTGACAAACGACAGATAAAATAGTTACAAGCCAGGATTCCCTGGGTTCCTTAGCTAAACCCATGGACAAGGTGATTTCCTGAGTCTGCTAAGTCCAGGAAACCTCACTGCTCCTCTCCAAAAGGCTTTTGACTTGCAACTGGATGCCACAAGAATTAAAGGTAGAGGACAGGGAGGCTTAAGTTACAAGTATATGGATAAAGGGGTCCATTCCTCTCGTTCAACAGCCAACCAGCAAGTCTAGGCTCCTGCCAATAATTAAAGCAAAAGGTTTTCTTCCTAATAGCTAGGGACCATCAGAGAATGCACTGAAATCTAGGTATACCAAGAAGTGGGAACTGGTACAGTCCTGCTTACTATGCCCCTAGACAACAGGCAGAGGTGTCTTGCTGGGGGCTCTAGAACAGGTAATTGGAGAATCGGATACTACACTTGATCTTAGCCAAAAGGCTGAGAAGGAATCAGAGATTCTGGGCTTTGTTTCTTCTTTGAAACTTTGGAGTTAGGGAGTATGGAGAATTTCCTTACCCTGGAATTACTGGCTCACTGTAGCCTTTGGTTTTTTCCCCCTGTTCAGGAACACCGCTTCCTCTCTTGCAGAAGGAATGAAAGTATGCCAGGATGTCTTCTAATAACCACACCCCAGCTCTGGGCTCGTCAGCTGGAGCAAAGGGCACTGTGACAGTGCTATCAACCTGAGACCTGTGCCCAACAACTATTGCTTCCTTGCTACATCATTGATAGCAAAAGCAAGACTCCTTTATGCTTTATCAAACCCTGTGAGAATCAGAGTTTGATCATTTTTTTCAAGAGGATCCCTCCCTGTACTGGTAGGTTCTTGATAAGCTGGAGCAGCCCCCACATTCCTTAGTCAGCATGTCCACTGGCTATGGGTCCTCAGGATTTTGGGAATTAAAGTCCAGGACTTTTGGAAGTCTCCTCTGTTCAGAGATTCAAGAATACATGGGTATGGGAACCAAGACTCTTGTAGGATGTTAATCCTCCCCCTCTTTCTGCCCCAGATGGTACTTCAGCAGCCAACAAGAGAAAATCATAAAGTTCAAGAGAAATGAATTAAAAATGCAGTTTTAAAAAACCCCTCACATAATTCTCAGGAAAGAAGCTGGGTAGCTTAGTTGATTTAAAGTCCCTCATTCATTGCAACTGTCGAGCTTCTGCATATCACACAGCTGTTTAGAGCACGGGAGCCATACTAGGGGAATTAACCAATCCTGACCCCACAATGCAACCTTAAAGGACAGCAAAGGTGAAAATCCCGCCAGGATTAATTTGCATTTGCTTCATTATGTGTATATTCTACTTGTTGGTTGTACAGCCCTCTCCAGGCCTGGGAACCTGCCTTTTTGGGGGAAGGTGATGTTTTGCTGCCAGTTCACAGGTCTGCTAAAACTCTGGGTTTTTCCACTGTTTTTGACAGATGACCTTCCTTAAGAGGTGAAAGGATGAAATGCATTCCAAGCAAGCAGGAAGGGCTGGTCTTTAAGTCACAGAATCCCAAAACCACCCCAGCCTTCCCTAACCTGGTGCTTAGTAGGTGGCTTGGATCCCAACTCTCATTATCTTTGGTAGCAGAATGGATGGTCTGTGGGTTGAAGATGATGGGAACGTGAAAGGAATGCGCCAAAATAGAGAAGGCTGCTTTTAGTCCAACCCCCTGCCTTCTGACCTTGACTTTAGCCATATTCTCTTTCCTTAAGTAAAATGGTGTTCTTAGGGCTGACTGATTTTGCCAGATACAATTTGCGGGAACTTAAGTAAGGCCACTCACTGTCCTTCGTGAGTTATCTTACAATTACTTGGTGCTGGCACAGATGTAATCCACAGCTTACATGAAGCCAGTGATTTTTTCTTGAAGAGATCTAGGAATCTTGAATTTAGGAAACTGGATTTGCAGTAACACATGGAAGGCTGATCCAGGTAAAAAGATGGCGGGACACATTTCATCACCTATGAATCAAAAGACAGCGGTTTTAGGATTTGAAAAGTGAATGTCTGTGTAACCTAAGAATAGCCACCTTTTCTGACTTTTATGATGTGCCATTGCAACTGGGTTCATGCAATGTGCTTTGTTGGAAAACCCACAATGGCTGAATTTGTACAGCATGCTAAGCCAAAATCAAGGGTTAATATTACAGCTGGAGTTATATATTTTGCTAAGCCACAAACAAGCAAGCCATATTATAGCTTAGTCTGTTGCATGAGCTCAGCCAGTTGTGGTTTATTCTATAAATCTGGCCATAAAGATTATGGCTAATACCTACTAATGCCATCAGAAGTAATCATACTGATCTTGCCTGCCTTTACTGTACTTTACAATAAAGGAGGAATCCAGGGCTGGTTGTCCATGTTACATTTGGCTAAGATTGTAGTTTGTATTATGCTGTAATATGATTGGTGTGATTTGGATCAGTATGTTGCAAACCTAACCACTCTGAATTACAAACCAGTATTTTATGGCTTATATTGCATAGACTTGGCTAATTATACCACTAATGTGTTATTTTATATTGCAGTACTGATAGCGAGTCAATGGTGTTAGTATACAATATTTTTAGTGATGAGCCTCAGGTTCACGTGCTTGTCTTCCCCATTACTTGGGAAGAAAGGAGGTTGAAATGTTCTGTTTTTGGGAGTTTGGCTAAACCAAACTTCCTTAAACTTGGGACATTAAGGCTTATTATAGTTAGCCAACAAATGAGGACTTGAAACCTCATTTGATAAAAGTTGGGTAGGGGGAAACAGAAAAGTGAACAAAGGGAAGATATTCAAATACATTTGCATGTTTGAATAAAACAAACAAGACATCAAAGCGAGATTTACCACCAACATCATTTAACAAACTGTTTTGCAATGTGCTAATTATTTTGATGGGCAAATGTCTAGACTTCCTATCTTGCAGACTGTAATGCTGTCCCTAGATGGCAGAGTTCTGGAGAAACAAGAACCTTGTACAATATTTGTGTAACTGAGTTAAGGGGAAAATATACTGCATAACAATTCCTTTTGATTTTTTTTTTTTCTGATGGCCAGCAATAGAGAGAACGGTACATTAGAGGTAAGATCTACTATGTCTAGCAGGCAAAATATCAGGAGCCTGGTAGCACCTTTTCCAGCTAACAAATTTTATTAAAAGGCATAAGCTTTTGTGAGTTGCAGCTCCCTTCGTTAGATGCATAAAATGGCTAGACTGATGTAAGATTTAAATTGGGGGGAGGAGGAGGAGGAGGGGAAAACAGGATGGTCATGCAATTACAGGTTACATGTGAGACAGATTACAAGTACCTTATCAATTAATGATTGCAATGTGTTAAAAACCCATTGTGTTTGTTGAGACCTTCTTAAGCTGCCTGAAACTTTTTGATGTATGTGAACTCAGCAATATCTTGCTCAATGGTGGAGTTAAAGTCTTGTTTTTTCCAAGTCACTTTGAGGTTTGCCCTAGAATATCCTGGGAGATTGAAAGGAACTGAAAAAAAAGTAGAAAATATATTTCTTCCCCCAGGGGGATCACAATCCTATTGTCTGCCAAAATCAGGGGAACATTAAAAAATACTATAAATTAGGCATTTCGGATTAAGGTATTACATGGTGTGTGGGTGTGTTTGGGGGAAATAATACAGAATCCACACACAGAAATAATAGCCAGATCAGTTTTCACAGATATAACCTGTACAAATATAAGGGAAGCACTTGGAAAAATAAGGGAAAAGCCCTGCCTTCGTATGTATTATACAGGCCTATGCTTGCAAAAGCAGAACTTGAGATTTAAAAAGAGCAGGCATTTTTAAATTATCCAGTATTTTTGTTTATTTTCTGCTAGTGCAATGACTAAAGAAAGGGAAGGAGAAGATAGACAGATGCTAATGACAATCATGTTACATACTCCTTAGTTACATGACCTAGGCTGAAATGAAGTAGTATTAGTAATGTAATAAAGAAAGAGCTGAATTTCTCTGGGGTAGCACCCCTAATTGTCATTTAGAGCTTCAAGCTGCCTGGGGAATTCTGGGAGTTGAAGTCCACCCATCTTAAAGTCACTGAGATAGAGAAACACTGTTAGAATCATGCAGCCGTCACTGTTCCACATAACAGGAACGGGGACAGATTTTATAGAGCCTGAAGGACGGCTGTGGGATGGCATATAGGCCTTTCTCCTTTTGCACCTAACCATGGACCAGACATGCCCTGGGAGCATTTTTTTTTTTTTATTCCCAGGCCCATGAGTGAAACAAGCTTGTTATTCTTAGCTCTACTGCTATTAAAGCGCTATTTTCCCCTTGATTGTGACACTGTCCAAGGGCAGCCTTCAAGTGTGCAAAATTCATTAGACTTTGTCACTCATTATCTTGGGAGAGAAATGGCGGTGACTGGGAACAGATGCAGGGGCGGGGTCAGCAATGGGGTTGGCAAAGTCCATTTCATGCCAGTCCAGTTTCTGCCGACTCCACGATGGAAGGAGAGCACTTTGAGAAATGTCCTCTGTCAATCACTGAGAGATGCAAACAAGGATGATATAATGTAATGGCTAAGAAACTGAGGTATATACAGGAAAGACAGTGATTTAATTCTGCCGTGAGCTGGCTAAATTAATAAACTTCTCTCTCGTTCTTCCCCCATAATATATGGGATAATTGTGACTTTTTATCATTAAAAGTCATGATTAGGGGGGACATCTGGCTTGCAGGCTGGATCTGCCCTACCAAATTCCCCCACTGGACCTGTGCGGTTTTAGGAAGGAGAAAAGATGAATGGGGAGGATGAAGTTGACTGACAGGGGAATGCCTTGAATGCTCTTGTCATTTCAACGGCACTCAGCATCCAAGCATCATAACGGTGAGATGGCCCTGAAGCAGGGTTCGTGGGGCTTCTCCTGGCCCCTTACATTCCTGATGGAAAAGTTAGGTCCCAGAAAGCTGCCTCTTTGAACAATGTGAATGCCTTTTCAGCAGGTTCTCTGCCATTTCCTACAGGCCTAGGTATGCTTCCAAAATGATTCAGAAGGTGCTCTGGACTCTGCACGAGCACACAGCACCTCTTTGCTCTTCATTCAAGCAGCTGCGTTTTCTCAGGATTCTATGGAAGCCTGAAAGAAGATGCTGTTGCTTTAAGAGCCACATTAACTTCAAGGACTCCTTCAGGCAGCTACATGGCCAGCCTGGCTGGGGAAGATAGAAGGTGTAGTTTGACAGAGCAGGTGGTAGAATACCTGAGCATCTTTTGCAAAGATCACATGAATAAAATCTGTGCGTAGTAAAGCAATTCCTTTTTAAAATTGTGATTTCACCTTTTATCACCAGGTGGCAGCACCAACTTCTCAATTTTCATTCATCCCTTGGTGAAAAAAACCTTGAGTTCCCCAGCTAAAAGCAAGTATTTGTATGCTCTCTGGTCCTAATTAGGTGGATATTTGAAGTTTAAAAAGAGAAAAATAACTAAAGACTCCTCTAATAATATTTGTAATATATTTCTTCATTTTCAACTCAAAATCCTTGCTTTAAAATTTATAATTGCATATTTTAATACATGAACTGAATTTTGATTTGTAACCTGTGGTTTATATCTGATGCTTACATCATGTTGCAAAGTAAAAATGGACAATGA